CCCCCCCCCCCCCCCCCCCCCGACAGAGAGGTGATGATGCAGTGTTGGAGGACCGCTGTAGGGCAATTATCTCCCCAATCACTCGGCAACGACGTGACACCTCACGCACAGAGTAGCAGAGGCCTCACAAAAAAGTTCACCGGCTCAGAGAAGTTCAACAGGAAAATCCCCCCCCCTCCCTCTGCAAAGACACTTCACTACAACAGAAAACTAAAACAATCAAACTGAATGCAGCTTTTGTGCAGGCAGAACTAGAGTAATCTCACCCTTGTCGTGCACTAACAGAGCAGTCCAAACTTGCTGCACGATGCTGCTGCAGCACCGTCAGCTGACCGGCATTTGGCATCAAATGCTCAGACAAAAAAAACAAAAACAAGACAATAATTTAGTATCTGTGGCTGAAAACAAGCCGTCCAATCATTTTGTTCAGTCTGAATGCAACGATCGGACGGCTACCTGCATGTTTACCTGCTCCTAGTCTGCCCGTTCGTCACCACAAGCTGCCATCGTAACGGCTGAGAGTGCTAACAGCAGCCGTGCTGGTTGTTTACTTTTACAATGATAATTTTGGGGGCGTGGCTTTGGAGGGAGGCCTGGAGGGACGATCTGTTGGTGTTGACGACTTGGAGGCTTTCTGGATCGATTTAGAAACTTCTGGAGCTAATGCTGCTAGCTGCTCTCACTGGAGAAGAGTTGGTCTTTAGGTTTAGATCACTTTTGAAAAAAGACACTGAAATCTACGTAGAGCACACTTCACTTTAAAGAGTACTCTTTAAAGTGAAGTGTGCTCTGCGTAGATCTCTTCCATCAGTCTGAGGTCTTTGATGCTTCCTCCATCTTTGTTTGGCTCTAGCCGGGTGGAGCGGTGGTTCTCCTGCATGTTCCTGCAGATCACCAGCTCCAGCTCTAAATGCTCTCTTTCTCTTGTCACTTTGCAACATTAAAAAAAAGGGTCATGCTCCATTAACCCAAAACCCCCCCGGCCCTCACAGGACCAGGGTGTGACGGACGCCCTTTCACACACACACACACACACACACACACACGTGCACAGAGCTACAAGCTAACTTTTCTGAATTATATGAAAATCAAAAACCTTGAATAATAAACAGACGATTCTTTATGAAGCTTGTGATGAACTTAAGTGGTCGTCTCTCTGTTTGGACCAGAGTGTGAGGGGTTAACAGGCTCAAATGAGGTTCTCTACGGTGGAACGTGATGCCCCTTGCCCCCCCCCCCCCCCCCCTTAGCTGGGGCTGTTGTGCACCCCTCCTACTCTGCTGCCATTCAGTTCTGCATCGGGGGGCAACGCTCTGCCAAGGCAGGCCTGGTCACATGACTCCACACAAAGGCTTATGGGTGGCCAGCCTCAGCCACCCGTCATGTGGTTCTGTTGGGGTGGGCGAGAGAGAGAGAGGGAGAGAGAGAGAGGATGGTGGGGGATGGGCAGGCTGGTTTGGGGGTGAGGTGGAGGAATCACTGAGGTGTTTCAGTGAGGAATTTATTTTCCTCCCTGACATCCCCCCTCCTTCCCTAGCACCCCCC